CTGACGGGTTATACATGACTGTTCATTCAGCGAAAATCGCAAAATCGCCCTGTAATGAAATTTTGATGGGACGGCAAGTGGCGTCATCTATTTCCTGTGTCAAATGAGCTATTCAACATAACCTGCATTCATGATCCTGCATTATTTGTTGACAAATTTTCTCACTGTCAGCCTGTCACTCGAGATTGGAGAGCATTGTTCGAGATACCAAGTATAACTGTGAAAAGGCCAACAAAATGAAGTGGTTAGGAGTGTTCATGCCAAATAACGCTATTATATGCATAAATAATAATGCCATTCAAGTGAAAGAAATCATCTTCGTCAATTCGTGAATAGGTAAGGACATGTTCAATTATTTCATTGATTGAATTTTTAACTGCCTAATAAGAGCCATGGTAGCCCTAATAACCAGATACTGCTGTATTCTCAAAGTGAATGTACTGCAACATTTCATATTGTTTCACAAAATCTGTGATCTCAAGTGATATTTCTTAATTTGTATTTTCAGGAAGATACTGAATTTTCTCAACACAATGTTGAAGCAGCTCTTCATGAGGTTTGATTGAATGATGACTGGAGACATTCAATTCTGATTATGCTATCTATGCATAACCAGAATCTTCACTATAAGGTGAGCTTTGTGAACAGTTGTTTAATTAGGTGAGGGTTCAGAAAAATAATCAGGCATATTAACTAGAATATCAGGTATCTATATCCATGAATATAGCAAATTAAATATCAATTTATCATTTCATACTTATATATTTCATATCAGATATACACATAAATTGTATTGCAAAATTGATTGAACTATGCCAGCTTCAAAATCATTAAATGTTCTATGGCAACATTTCTTTATAGGTTCTGGGGGGATGGCAACACAATGAATATAAAACGGCTTGGATATGGGATCTTGACTCTGGAGGATGAAGCTAGGTTACCTGGAGATCCTTTGGACACTGAAAATAAAAGAGGAAGACGATATATTATTGAAAGTATTATTGTGTATCCCACAATTTCTATTATCTGTTCAGATATCAGCAGAGAAGAAGAAGAGTTCAAATATAGGCTCATCATCAGCTAATTTAATGGAAAAGGAAATTGTTTATTATGGTGATTGTCTATGGATTAAAATTATTATATTACTTGAATAAATGCTTTCTATACATATCATCTATCTATCTATCAATCCATATTTTTCAACCATTTTCAAAACTTTTTGGAGACAAAAATTGTTATATGCATTTCAAAAGTTGAATTTGCACTCTTTTCATCTTTTTAGATCTACTTGGGGAAGCTATAGTTAGTGGGCTAGTATCAGTGACAACATTTTACCTTATTTCACATACCATCTCATACTTCTATCAAGAAAACAAGAAAGCTATACAGGATCTCATTGATAGATGGGCATACATAAACTTAGGCCAAATAATCAATTTAAATTTTTTGTGACAAAATCATCACAGCAGTGAAAAACATTTTTGAAAATCTCTGATAGTATCATTATTCTGTGATATTTGCCAGGAAGCAAGAACACAAAATACCTCAAATTGAAGTTGTGGCACTCAAAAAAACTCCAGATGTTGGCCTAGACTGATGATTCTCTGGGATTCAAAGAGCATACCTTAAATTCCATTCCTCTTTCATTCTTGGTGTTGCTTTTTGGGATGCCCATCCTGTAGGTATATGGTAATTTAAGTTTGAATACGTTGCGTTGATGGCTTGAACCATCAGGCTCACATTAAACAGTTTTCAACAATACTACTCCTACCCTACCTAGCTACGCAACAACAATGCAGACTAAACATACCTTGAAAATTATGGTAGCGATCCTTTCGAATGTATGTCCCGATCCTGATAAGTCGCCATATGTTGTGCTATTGATCATCACTCTATAGTGTCTTCCAAAATCATTGACACAAACTTCAACACCAGTATCAACACCAGTGTTCTAATGGTGGAATCGAGGCTGAAATTGAAAATCATCAGAAAAGTGTACTTACATGTAAAATCATATTCTAACCAATGCCTTCCAAAATAAAATTCGACCATTCTTGCTGTGGAGTTTATCACTGATGGGTATGAGCACTACATTTCATTACGCTAGAAGGCTGTAAATACATGATGAAGACACAACTAGCAAACCTGAATAAATAAACTACCAGAACTAAACACAAAGAAGAATGCTTGATTGAATGAAAATCCGAAAAAGTAAAGGAATTTATCCATATTCAACAGAACACATCAGGGACCTGACAGTGACACAGTTTTGACACTTGATAAAATAATAATAATTCATAACCTATGTTATTGGAAAACAACCGAATAGGTCGCGTGCAAGAACTGTCAGATGACCGACCCTGGAGGCAAAACATATTTGTTTACAAGTGATCGAAATAGTTTTCCACAATTATTTTGGCATATGAATCGTATTTTTCCGCTATTCATCAATTCGCTAATGCCATCACATTGTGCTGTTGTAAAATGCACAAAAACTGCAGCGGAAGATGAAGAAATCCGGATGGTACATTATGATTCGAAAGTAAGTACCTACTATAGTCACTCACCTATAGTTTTCATTTTTGAAATTTGGTTATTTCTCTAATTTCTCATCGGAATTCCTTCTGCAATAGGATCAGCTAATAGAAATATACCTGAAATTTCTAGAATAATGCAAGAAGATTGGATTCATGCAATCAATCGGTAGGACTGGCCTGACATGCTGACGATCGTGTCTGTTGTAGACATTTTCAATCTATTAGCAGTATTAGCTTGTATTGCAGGAGTGGCAGAAGGCAGAAGGAATTTTAATAAGGAATGACAACATTTCATAATGATATCTATGTGAGATTACTATTTACCTGAAAAATCATATTCCTTAGTCTCTTGCTGCATTTTTTGTGCATTGTACAACAGCACAATGCGAAGGCATGCTTGAATCAATGAATAGCGCAAAAAACACGATTCGTATGCCAAAATATTGTGAAAAACTATTTCAATCCTTTGATTCCTCTGTAACCAAATAAAAAAGTGAGGTTGTGTTTCAATAATTTACAGAAGAATGAGGTTGTGTTTCAATATTTTGCCTCCAGGGTCGGTCATTGTGCACGCGACCTATAGGTCGCGTGCACGAAGACCGACCCTGGAGGCAAAATATTGAAACACAACCTCATTCTTCTGTGAATTATTGAAACACAACCTCACTTTTTTATTTGGTTACAGAGGAATCAAAAGGTTGAAATAGTTTTTCACAATATTTTGGCATACGAATCGTGTTTCTTGCGTTATTCATTAATTCAAGCATGCCTTCGCATTGTGCTGTTGTACAATGCACAAAAAATGCAGCAAGAGACTAGGGAATATGATTTTTCAGGTGAATAGTAATCTCACATAGTTAGCATTATGAAATGTTGTCATTCCTTATTAAAATTCCTTCTGCCTTCTGCCACTTCTGCAATACAAGCTAATGCTGCTAATAGATTGAAAATGTATACAACACACACGATCGTCCTACCGATTGATTGCATGAATCCAATCTTCTTGCATTATTCTAGGAATTTCAGGTATATTTCTATTAGCTGATCCTATTGCAGAAGGAATTCCGATGAGAAATCAGAGAAATAACCAAATTTCAAAAATGAAAACTATGTGAGTGACTATAGTAGGTACTTACTTTTGAATCATAATGTACCATCCGGATTTCTTCATCTTCTGCTGCAGTTTTTGTGCATTTTACAACAGCACAATGTGATGGCATTAGCGAATTGATGAATAGCGGAAAAATACGATTCATATGCCAAAATAATTGTGGAAAACTATTTCGATCACTTGTAAACAAATATATTTTGCCTCCAGGGTCGGTCATCTGACAGTTCTTGCACGCGACCTATAAGAGCTAAACAAATGACTTCTCCGCAAAGGACGGCAAGTAAACCCCTCTGGTGGAGAATACACTGAACTGAGTGATTGGACAGTCATGTAGTACTCGTCAGACAGTCCATTTAGCCGTCATTGATCAAGGAGTCCTCTAATTTTGACAGGAATAAATGTTCGAATCTAAACACACAACCAAAAATGACCAATACAAACCGAAAACAAAATGAATTATTACGTTATGATGACAGTGACGACCAAAGTGGCGACTTCAACTCAATTTAACGACAATACGTAAACGTTATTTTTCGTACGTTAACGTCGACGTGGAGGTCTACATACAGTGATTACTTCAACTCTCTATTATCTTAGAAGACATATTATCGGATAGTGATTCGGATTCATCAGAAACACCAAGCTCTAGTACTTTTAGTTCCAGTGATGAAGAAATGAAGAATAGCTATGGAATATTAAATATCAAAAGTGGGGATAACAAACCATCTTGTAGATAAGTAGCAGTTTCAGCGTATAATGCCTCTTTGAGATCTTCCAGTTCGAATTCATACATTTTCCCAAAGTATTTGAAAATAATAATATGTAATTTTAGTGGCCAACAACTCTCTAACAGGGTTTCTTGAAATGACCCGCGAAAACATTGCTAGTACCAGTAGTTCGGGAATACCGGAACATGCTCGATACCTGTGATAAAATTCTTTCTTCGCCTGCAGCCAGGGTTCAGTTCTTGCGAGGGTCAACTTTAATCTTGTTCTCTCAAGTAATTTTCCGAAGAATATAATTAATTATCTTCTGGTGTTTGAAACGTATGGAGTTCAAACAATAAATGAATATTCTGAATACAGTTCATAGTCAATCTCCTCCTCTCCTATACCTACCAATGATAATTATTATTGTTTCGCTCCTTCGCAGCGTCTCTGACGTGGCTGGGTGATCTGATCTGTACTGTGTACCCGCGCTGTTTACCCATCGCGATCATTATTTGTTGCACCCTGTCTCTAGAGGCGAATGTACATGATTGTGAAATGGCCGGAGGGCCCTGATAGTGCTAAATCAACGTGAAGATTTAGGATTTGAAGAAATTAACCAATCATCATTTGAGAACTGCAACCGACTTGAAATGTCACAACTAAAACAAAAGGAACTAACAGAATATTCAAAAGATGGAAATGATTAATAAGAAAACAACACACAATGCGGAAAATAATAAGAAAGCCTATTCAGATTCTATTTTTAGTTATATTCTTCATACTAGGCTGTATATTTACATCCAGTATTACGCCCATGGATAGAACATGTAGAGTTCAAGATACAGATAGAGAATATAATATCATGAAAAATTCAAAATTTAAGAATCCAGACCTTATCATCCTGATTTTATCAGCCCCTGAAAATTTGAAGAAGAGAAATATTGTCAGAGATACATGGCTGAAGTTGGCATATCATGAAGGTAATGAAAATAACCATTTCCAATACAAACATTACTTTGTTATAGGTAATCTGGGACAGTATGCAAGACAACTTCATGAATTGAAATTAGAACAATCAAAGTTCAAAGATATTCTAATTCTCCCCATAGATGATTCATACAAAAAATTAACTGAAAAAGTGAAACAAAGTTTCCAGTGGTTAAGTGAACAATCTGAATATGGCTTAGGCTTCAAATATGTTCTCAAATGTGATGATGACAGCTTTGTGAACTTGGGAAAGCTCATTTCTGAGTTGATGCATATTGATAGAATACTGATCAGTAATGATGGTTCTGTCCCAAAGATTCAGGATGGCCTACAAGAATACATATCATATAACATCCAAATAAATGATCCAGCCAATATATCTCATTTGAATTTATATTGGGGTTATTTCTCTGGGAATGCTAGAATACAGACTAAGGGGAAATGGAAAGAAATCAACTGGATTGCTTCTGACCATTACTTACCATATGCTTTGGGTGGAGGATATGTGTTATCAAAGAATTTGGTTGTACTCATTGGAAAAACTTGTGAACATTTAAGGTATGACAACACAAATTTTCATTTAGAAAAATAATTCCAAAGTCTATGTCCAGAATAACTGAAAAATATTATTTTCAATATCCCAAAACTATTGTACTAAAATTTTTGTCTCCATGATATCTACTAATCTTCCTTTCCAAGATAATCAATTGATCATTGCTCTAACATGGCTGGAATAACTATATCATGTAATAAGGTGATTAATAATAATTTCCCAATGTCAAAAACCCTTTACCCACTGCCACTATAGAAAGAAGGCAAGAACACATGAGATACAGCCTCAGTAAGTAGCTCTTTACACACAGTAAGCACATCACACAGTTTCAGTTCACATCCTGCCTCTCAAGAATCATTATGGCAAAAGCCCTATTTCCATTGTCTGAGTCTCATCAATAGGAATTGAACTCAGGTAATCTATACATTGCAGTAGATTATCATAGAGACTGGTATTATCAGATTTGGCTGCAGCATTGAATACCACTCAGCTTATTAGGTTTATTATGGTTAACTACACCAAAATGTGGTAGATACCAGATTCTTGGCTTTCTGCTGAATACTTCAGCAGCTTGTAGACGATCAATGTTACCTTTCCGGAGATTATCCCCAATCTCCTCACAGTATTGATGGAAATATGATTTATCTTTTGCCATTTTTCTCCATGCAAAGAAGTCGGTTAAATGCGTTTCTTCTGCTCTCAGGCATAACAATAGTGTCTTTTCTCCATAGTAGGCCAATTTGGTATCAATTCTCATTCCCTCTCTTCTTTATTTATTCTGAACTTCGTCACAGCTACACCAAAAGCCTCATTTTCTTGGCAACATACATATATAGAACGTGGAATGATTCAGATTCAAGTATCTGTCCATCATTTCCATGTTTAACCCAACCCAAATGTGCTTTTGTAACTACTGGAACACTTTTCTGGCTACTGTTAGATGTATATGTTGTCTTGCCCAATCAGTAGTTTTATGAATAAAGAACTCAATATCATAAAACAGATTGCAGTCAACAAAGGATACAACGTTAATTTGATAGACAGTATTCTTTCTAAAAGACTTCATCATAAAGCTATTCAAGAAGTTTATCCTACCATCAAGAATAATAATCAAAATTATAGAACTTTAACCTATTTCGGATCATCAACTGAGAAATTAGCTTCATTTCTACATAAACAGGACTTAAAAGTGGCATATAGAACAAATAACACGTTGGGACGGTTTATCAAGAATAATAAAGACAAAACTTCTAAATTCGAAAAATCAGGGGTATACAAACTCAAATGTGGATCTTGTCCTAAGGTACATTTAATCAGCGCATTCATGAACATAAGATGAATTTTATAAAAAAGAAAACAAATTCAACATACGCCAACCATAATATTAGAAGAAGATCATAGTTTTGATGATAGTTTTGAGGATAATTTCGAAATTCTGCATGTAGAAAATAAAGGACTGAAACTTAATCATTTTGAATCATTAGAAATCAACAAACTCAAAAATGTTGACATTTTACTTAATGATCAATTAAACCTCAATAGTTCACCACTGTTGAATTTGTTTTCTTAAGTAATAATATGTATTTGCTATCAACTCCTTCAAGTTAATCCGGTATACCGTAATTTAATGTAGATATTGTGCCCAATTTCCGAAAATGGAAGTTTATCGTACCTGTCCACAGCTAACTAATCCTTTAGGTTGGGAAAGTAAGATATATAAAAGTTAAGCAAGCCAACGACGCCAACGTTACTTTTATTTCATTGTACCAGAATATCATCTGACGAAGCTACTGTGTTAGCGAAACATGTCGTGTGTTTGAGAATTTTGTGGAAATCTTATCGTTTGTGAAATTTTTACATTTGAGAGGTAGAATCCTGGAATGCATTAACATATTGAACAATCATCACTCCAACTTCATTTGCAATTGGAAAAATAAATTGGATAAAGACTACAGAAAATGTATATAAAACAACGGTGGTCACATCGAACATCTGTGAAATCGCATCTCCTTCAGTTATAAAAGTGCGTTTTTTTTCTTTCATGGCAGTTGCGATTTGGTTAAATCTAAAATGTTCAACCAAATATCAATGACCAATATATTTTTGGAATCAGGAAGTAAAGATCATGAATTCTTTAGAAAAATATATAGGGTGTTCCATTGAAAATAACGAATTTGGTATCCATTTCTTATATCAGCGATATTCATTTGTTTCATCTGATATAATTTTCTGGAGGTTCAGAACAAACCTAACCACTTTTGCATTCATAGTTTTTCTCTATCTTCAATGATGAACCCTGTGGAAGCTGTTTAAATATACGGAATGACCCTGTACACAGTATCCATTTTAGGTCTTTCAAATCGGAGGATGTCAGTGTTGGAATGTGGCTGGCTCCAATAAATAATATAGTTCGAGTACATGATATCAGATTCGATACGGAATGGATATCTCGAGGTTGCAAAAACACCAATTTGATAACCCATAATGTGTCTCCTGCAGAAATGAACAAGTTGTTCAAAAATTTGATGACATTTGGGAAAATGTGTTCAACAGAAACTACGAGAAGAAAGCATTATATTTACGACTGGAATGTCCCCAATAGTGAGTGCTGTAAAGTTAATAAGGAAAATGTTATAAGGCTTCCAGGTCCCTGATGGAAGAAAAGCCCAATTTCCACTTTCATTACGTAGGTATAAATGGTTTTCAGAATAAGATCCTCACCGAGATTCTAACTTGATATTGATACGATTTATAAATAACAGATACTTAACCAAGGATTATAATTGCAAAAGAAAAACCGAGCAAGAAACCAAAATATGCGAATAATACATTGTTTCGCCGACATCTACAACAAATCACATTTCAAGTTCTAATTTCCGAACGAAAACACGACTTTTTCCGAAGGCAAGTACATTTCGTCCGCATACACCAAATTTTCGTCTGCTGCAAGGTTGCCAATACTACTGAATTTTCAGTAGATTTCCTGATTCGCATATTGATCTACTGATCAATTTTGACACTCATTTATGATTATAATTACCTATATTATTATTAACCTTTAGCTAATCACATACACTTATAAATTGCATGATATTTCGGCACACTCTATTTAAATTAATTTTACGAAATAGGTGATAAATGTACATATAATAGGTACTAATGATATGTATAAACCAAAAAAGGAAAATACTTTATCTGATCCAGATCAAATTAAAATTTTTATATACATGTGTTATAACAGTTTGTTTCTTAGGTTCAAATTGTCATTTGTTTTGTATTTTTGTTGTTCATGTTTACCATTCGTTTCTGTTTTTTATATCCCCAAATCTTATACATATAAGTACCTATGTAACTGTATTTTGTGATATTTGTATTATTGAATTGAGAATTAGGAATATTATTATTTTTTAAGAGAATGTTAGTTTTGATTGTTCCTATTTTCTTTGAAATAGGTTACTTTTCTGTGTACTAAAAGTAAATAATGTTTTGCCGTCATATTTCATTATCCTTTCTTGGAATTCGTATAGCATAAAATAGATCTTAAACAGATATATTGGAATCTACTGAATTTTTGATGATGGAATAAAAATCGAGCTAGAAACCCGTTGTCAAATTGATTATTCACGAAATTCTATAGATTTCACTGTGATGTGAACATAAGTGTTTGAGGGCGACGAAAAAATGTGACATGTTCCTCGGCGAAAAACTGTCTATTGTCTCGCCTGATTATTGCTAGCCTCGGCTAAGGCTTCGGCTATCAATTTGCAGAATCGACTATAATAGACAGTGTTTTGTCCTCAGTACATAAATAAATGTTGAACTAGTACATACAAAATTCATAGAATGAATTTTCTTAAATATAAAAAATGCTGGTGGTGTAAAACGATTCTGTCAAAATGAATCATTGAATTATGTAAAATGAGGCTGTTAAAATGATACCTACTTCGGATTAAATCAAGCTATCAAATAAGAAGCCTGCTTTTCATTGATTTTGACAAACTCTCATCAAAGGAGGTGAATAAATACAAAATTGACTTAGGGCCAATTCTAGCAGGGGTGTAGCTCGTGCAACTAATGAATCGGAGAAATATGCTGAATTTTAAATATTCATTGAAAAGTCCTGATTTTCCGATAGCATAGCACAGTTTAAAAAAAAATGGAATGTTAAGTGCTCAGTGTGCTGATCTATTGTCCCTTAGTATCTACTCCCTACACGCACCCTTTATTTGATAGCAAAATGCATGACAGAGCCAGCAATACGGCTTAAAACATTGAACTTTCTATAAAAAAAATGAGTGAGGGCCATATTTTTGAGACGCCTAAGTATGTTTGGGTCGTCTGTGCGGTAGCTTATTTATGCAATTTCTACTACTAAGAGACTGTGAGAGAAATTCCCAAAAACCTGGAGAAATTCCACTTGCTGGATTAAACTACATACAGTATTTAAAATACTTTTCACTTGCTCTTTGGGCTAATTGTTACTCTGGAAGAAATCTAATTTTCAATTTGAAGGCATTAACCTTGAATCCCAACAAAACATTCACCTGACGCGCATTTTTGACCATAAAAAATATTGTCTGAATTTCTTGGCCACCCTTGGTATACACTGCTGTGCAACCCTATAGGTCGATGCACGATGACCCTGGATGTATTGAAACTCAACCCTCACTTTTCCTAATTGTTTACAAAGGAATCAAAGAATTGTAATAGATTTTCATAATATTTTGGCATACGACTCATGTTTTTTGAGCTATTCAATAATTCAAGTATGCCTTCACATTGTGCTGTTGTGTAATGCACAAAAAATGCAGCGAGAGACGAAGGAATCCGATTTTTCAGGTAGGTAAAGGTAGGTACATTGTGATCTAAAAGTACTATAGTCACTCACACATAGTTTTCATTTTGAAATTTTGTAATTTCTCATGGGAATTCCTTCTGCAATAGGAGCTAAATAGTTTCTAAAAGAAGGCAAGAAGATTGGATTCATGCAATCGAATGGAAGGACTGGTCTGACATGTTGACGAAATATGATCATGTGATAGACATTTTCATTCAATTGGCAATATTAGCTTCTAGTGCATAAGTGGCAGAAGGAATTCTAATGAGATAAAAAATAACATGTCGCCCCACCTGACACCAACATTTGAACGCTTCTGAGCGGATTTTTATGATGGATGTGACCAGTAAGTAAAAACAAGGTTGAAATTAATTTTTTTGTGGTCGCCTACTAGATTCCTATGCATCACATTATTTTTTATTTAAAAAAATAACAGTATTTTACGAAAGCGCTGAACGGACTTGTTACTTTTTTTTTTATAATTGCCAGTTTGAACTGGCATTTAGCTATAATTGCCAGTTTGAACTGGCAATTAATTGCCAGTTTGAACTGACATTTAGGTATAATTGCCAGTTTGAACTGGCATTTAGCGCTTCCCTACGAAAGGATCTAGTCATGTTATCGCCATCTAGTGACGCCAAAAAACTAATGCGAAGGCGAACTTTGCGTTAGTCGAAATAACTAACGCAAAGGGCGAGTGGACTGATAATGAATTATTGGCATTCAATTACTCCACTGTGTCGTTAGAGACCTATAGTATATTGTTCAACAAGAACGGAATGTTAGTGATTCTCCCAGAGAATGAAATTTGCAGCATGAGCCGTAGGCAAATAATGCTGCAATCATTCGAGTGGGAAATTAGTATTCCCTGCGAGTTATACACCATAATTTTTCTACGGCTGTGACAGATAACAGCGACATTCTTGATTTCTTCTTCTTGTAGCCATCTAATTTCCTCTCAAGTAATGGGCATCTATTAGACAGAGCTGTCAATGCTTGAACTGTGACATTCCATTTGCGGGGTCCTTTCGTACGAAAGCGCTAAATTTTTTTTTTCAGAAAAAATACTTTATTGAACAAATAAACATACAACTATAACAATTCATAGTATTTTTTTTTCCAAATCAGCAATAATGCTGGTGATGGAACTTAAACTTAATGATGTATAAACAAGTACCTAATCAAGTTAACATCAAACAAAAATGCACATTTTATATTTGGGTACAGTCTTGAAGCATATTTAACCTAACAAAAAAAAAAAAAAACATAACAAAAAGCACAAATTACATACTAAGTATTCATTGCATTCATATAAATCATTAGTTCTCTTTTGAACGATGCATAACTATCTTTGTTTTTGATGAAATTTGGTAGAGTATTATAAGTTTGAATACATTTGGATATTGGGTCATTCAGTGCCACATTAGTTTTTACTTGTGTTAGATATATTTGATTGTTTGCCCTGGTATAGTGATTGTGAACTTGGTTTACTAAATTCATTGGTGTATTACTTTTTTGCTGATTCTTCGAGACTTAATATATATATTTGCATTGTTCAATAAGTAGAATTTTATCGAGTGGTAATATTCCAGTGACACTATATAATGTATTGGTATTTGTTTTATAATCAAAATCAAACAGTACCTTTACTACTTTGTTTTGTAATGTTTTGACTTTTTTCATCATCGTATTAGAGCAAACTCCCCAGTTCGTTATTAAGTATCGAAATATTGAGAGGAAATAACTATTATAGATCATCAGCTTATTATGGTTGTTTAGGTAATCACGACATCTATACAGGGCACCTATCATTGGAACAATTTTATTTGTCATGTGTTCTATGTGTGCTTGCCAGTTGAGTTTGTCGTCAACAATTAGCCCTAGATATTTTGTATTTTCTACTTTTTTTAACATATTATCTCCAATTTTAATAATAATCTCGTGACTTTCTTTGTTTTTATTCTTGAATAACATATATACTGTTTTTTGTACATTAATTTTCAATTTATTACTCAACAGCCATTCTGAATATAGGTTCAAATCTATATTGATTCTACTTTCTAGTTCTATTAGGTCTTTTCCTTCATAAACAAGTATTGTGTCATCTGCAAACGTATAGTAACGAGCTATTAAATTTGCATTTTTTAAATTGAGGGTGTGCAGTGAATAAAACAGTGGACCCAGGACTGAGCCCTGTGGTACTCCACAATTTATGTTTTCTAACTGGCTCTCTATGTTGTTAAGCGAGACATACTGTTCACGGGAATGTAGATATGTTTCAATTAAGTTTAATGTTATACCCCTCAATCCTAATGTATTCAACTTCGATAATAATATATTATGATCCACTACATCGAAAGCTTTCTGAAGGTCTACAAATACAGTGATGACATATTTACTTTCATCCAGTTTTGTTGTTACATAGTTAAGGAAATCTGTAGTGTCACTTTGTGTGTTTGATTTTTTTTGAAATCCATATTGATATTTGTCTAGTTCAGTATATTTATCCATGAACCCTATAATTCGATTTTTTATAAGCATTTCTACTACTTTAGACAATGCACAAACAACTGTAATGGGGCGATAATTCTCTAGTTTGGATTTTGAACCTGATTTGTGAATAGGAATGACCTTTCCTTTTTTTAATATGTCAGGATAAATTCCTTTTTCAAATATATCATTGATTAGCGTGACCAGGACTGGTGAGAGCCATTCAATAATCAACAATAGTTCTTTAATTGATATCTTATCGTGCCCAGGGGCTGCATTTTTATTGATTTCATTCAGGACATTGATTATTTCGCCAACATTTGTATTACTAAGAAATAATGAATTGTTAGTGTAGACATTGTCAAAAGTATGAATGTTAGGGTTATTTATTAGTTCTTCATTGATATTATTGATTATTGCTTGACCAACATTTACAAAATATTTGTTCAACCTATAAACAATAACTTCCTGATCAGTTACAGTTTCATCATCAATTTCTAGGAATGTTATAGTATTCTCTTCTTTATTTTTCTTTACCAAGGTATTTATAAATGACCATTGCTTTTTTGTATGGTTACCTGCTTCCTCCCATTTTTTTTCAAAGTATTTAGCTTTCAATTTCCTCCTTTCATTATTAACTTTATTTTTTATGTATTTGAACTCATTTACTATCCTATCATCTAGTGGAAATGTTCTACTCAATTTATATAATCTTTCCCGTTCTTTCAACATTTCAAGGAACTCCAAAGTTATCCACTCTTTATTTGCCCTAACTATTATAACTATTTCCCTTGTTGCTTTGGCTTTTGCTTCCTGTATGGTATCTATCAGTTTATCAAATGTATCTATATTGCCCCTTTCTTCAATGATATCTTTGAATGATTGTATATATTTTTTCGTATCTAATTTACTAAATGTTTTATTGACTTTAGGCTCTTGATGATTCCTTTGAACATATAATATAATCTCTATCATTTCATGATCTGAAAGAGTGCTACTCTCTAATGATAATTGATAGTTCTTGATATTTGTTGTGGCCAGTACATGATCAATAATTGTTTGCGAATGAGGTGTTACTCTAGTTGCATGTTGTTTATCAATTTCATTCCAGATCTCGAAACCATTTAGTACCACACAATTTTTATAATCTATGGAAGAATTTGATTTTTCTAATAGATTGATATTAATGTCACCTATAATTAGCGCATTGTCCTCTTTGCTGAGTAGATCATCCAATATGGTTAAGAATTCTTGAGTTTCCAATGATGGTGGTCTATATATTCCCATTATTTTCATCCTGCTCGACCTAATTTCTACTCCAACCATGTTATAAACACTATTTTCTCCAATACTGTTTGTTTCTCTGATTAAAATGTTTTGTTTAATATATATTGCAACACCACCTCCTCTTGAGTCCCTACATGCATGTACAGCTGTATAGCCATCGATACCAAACATATCTACCTCATTTCTATATAGCCAGGTTTCTACCAACACCAATATATCACATCTTTTTAGTTTTACCAAACACTGTAGTTCATCCAATTTGTTCCTGACACTCCGTATATTAATATATATTATTTTCAATGATGGTTGTTTGTTTGAGTCTTCTTTTCTCTGGAGTTTTTTAAATCGATAGAGTCTTCAATAACTTCAATTTTGCTGGTTTCATCCTTAGGTAGGTGTATTTTTCCATTCTTTATCCAGATAAATTTATAATTGTTCTCCTTACGGTACTGTAGAACTTCTTTAAAGAGATATTGGTTTGCTCTTGTTAGATCATGATTTATATAAATCTTGTTTATTTCTTCCTATCCCATGTCCTTGGAGGTTATTTTGTTCTGTTTTCCAGCCTTCATAAATACGTCTTTCTCATTTACATCACTGAAACATATCTTTATAGGCATCTGTTCATTGTTGCTATGCTTATTTCCAATTCGATATGCTGTTGTTTTCGATTTTGGAACTTGTAATATTTCTTGCATATTTTTGACTATGGTAGTCAAGTTTTCATTGTTTTTGTAGGGTATACCATTTATTATTATATTATTTTTCAGTTCTTGCTGTTCATTCTTGTTTCTTTCTTTCCCTAATTGTGCTTTTATAGATGATATTTCCATTTTCAACAAGTCATTGACCTTCACCTGATCTTCGTATTTTTTCAGCAGGTCACTATATTTTTCATCCATTTCCATTAGTTTAGCCATGATTTCGTTATTTGTGACTTCTTTGTCCACCTTGGGACCTGTTTCTGATTTCTATCCAGTACTTTAGAAAACCTAACCTCACTTTCTCCACATGGTTCGCATTTAAACCTTTCTCCTGTGGGATTTTTCAATTCACTCTCAAAATAATTTAATGTAGCAGTTGGCATTTTAATGCACTTACTGTGGTACCATTTTTGACATTTAACACAATTTATTGCATAAGTATTTTTACAACTTCGCTCACAAGATCCGCACTTGTCCGCCATATTGTTCAACTATAATTGCCAGTTCAAACTGGCAATTATAGTTGAATGTCAGTTCAAACTGGCAATTATAGCTAAATGCCAGTTCAAACTCGCAATTATGGCTAAATGCCAGTTCAATCTGGCAATTATGGCTAATTGCCAGTTCAAACTGGCAATTATAGCTAAATGCCAGTTCGAACTGGCAATTATGGCTAAATGCCAGTTTAAACTGGCAATTATGGCTAATTGCCAGTTCAAACTGGCAATTATAGCTAATTGCCAGATCAAACTGGCAATTATAGCTAATTGCCAGATCAAACTGGCAATTATAAAAAAAAAGTATCATGTCCGTTTAATACATTAAGACAGTTCAATCTTTCGAAAAAATTATCATCAACACATAAAGTTGAGATCAAAATATTAGTTAATTGGTCATGACTGGTGCATTTACCCTATGTTATTATATTTTTAGAATTCACAATTTTCTGATTTTAATGATGATGGAATAGGAATCTTGCCTATTATTTCTTTTTAATTTAAGCTCAAACAAAATACTTATTAATGTTTCACAGTGTGTCTAACTCATGAAATTGATATAAGTAAGTAACTTTTGGTATGGCCATGGTGGAATCATAATATATCATTTCATAATAAATGACAATGTGGATAGGAAATTTGTCTTATCACCTGATATTATCATGATAGAAATCTTCTTTCAAAATAATTTATTTTACAAAAATTAACCTATTGATGATACTATAAACAGTTTTAGGGCAAGTATTTATAGAAATAATTTGAACTAGTGAACAGTGCATTCCATTTTGGTTGAGACTTTGAGACTGCCAGTTTTCTGGGTTGTTTGTAAAGATAGAACTTTGTGGTTTCCATTTTCTGTTCTCACTTTTTGTCAAGATGTCTAGAAGTCAAGATGGTGTACTAGTAATCAGCTTTTGTATAAGAGTTTTCATTTACTACATCTAACAGCAATTATGTGCAGAATTCAGTGGCGTTCTTTTTTATTTTTCATGGTGTGGTTTTGGAGATATTATGACACAAACTTATATGTATTTCAAAGAAACACCCTGTATTTTATCATTTCCTTGAATTGGTTATTTTTTCTCTTTGAAAAGATATAAAACACCTAGGTAGTTTATACCTAGAATTTCCAGAAATGCTGGAAAAACACTTAAACATTAAACTATGCTGAATTTTTGCTGGTGGTCAATGAATTTTACAAGTTCAATTCAAAGGACTATCATGTGTTTTTGGAAATAACTGGATACATTCAGCACATTAATAAGGACTTGTTCTATTTCCCAAATGTATTATGAACTATGTATCATTATCTATTTGTTGCTTTTAGGTACCTACATTTTATAATGCACATAAATGAATAAGTGTTAGTATTATTTCCATGCCTAATCTATAAAAAAATCACTAATGAGAATTCTTCAATTGATAATTCTTTCAAATAGAAAATTCACATCCCACTAGCACATTCATCATAATATAATGTATTAGTGTTTTTTTAGCATTTCTGGAGATCATATGGATAAAGTATTTTACATTATTTCAAAGGAAAAAATGTGTTCCATTGAAAACTATATAAGTTTGTGTCATATCTACTAAACCATACCTGAAAAAATATTGAGTAGGCAATTGGATTTTGTGCAAAATTCTCTGTTAGAAGTAGTTCTTAGTACAACATTATTTTGGATAAATTCTTAGAAATAGAAGTGTTCAAATGGTATACATTTCCAAAATTGCATAAACAGAAAGTTATTGAAAATCTGATAAGGTCATCTTGAGCTTCCATAAAAGTAGGACAGGGAGTTGAAAACTATAAGGCTCTATCTTCAGTAACAACAGGGTGAAACCTGGCAATCTCAACTAAATGGGATGCACTACATTTGAAACAATGAAGAAACACAAAATTTAAAAACTTACAAATATAAAGTTGTATCAGTATTGTCCCAATTACATTTCTTCAATTTGCCTTTTTTCATCTCCAACATTCTAGGAGGAGTGTTCTCACACTGGATTTCTTTTCTTCCCTTTTCTTTAAAAATTGGAATCTTGCTGACAACATAGTCAGACTTCCTTGGTTTATCACTGACTTTCAATTTTTGTGATCTAAGAGGTTCACTACCATTTCGATTTTTCAAGGGTGACCTTTCTATAGGCTCTTTCAATTTGACTATCCTTGGGCACACTATTATATCATCTTCATAAATCAGATTTGTCAGTTTCTGGTCAAGTTCTTTGATGGTTGCAGTTATGTTAACTGTAGGAGGTGATACTGGAGCTGATTTAGACTCTTTAGTAACCAAAATTGGACTTGGTGGTGACATTGGGGCAGATTTACTCTCATTTGCAATTTGAACAATCAAATCTTCAGTTTTGTCCCTGGATGCAGTGTCTACATTCAGTTCTTTTTCTTGGGAACTTTGAATATTCATACAATTTACAATTTTTTTAGGTTCGAAGCTTTCATCATCAAGTGACAAATTCTGTAAGTCCCTCTGTTCACAATCAATTTTATCAGGAACAATGTCATCATTCAAAGTTTCCTTATTAGTTTCAATTTGGCTTGCAGAAGCACTGCTAATAACAGCTAGTTCATTACTCAATTCTTCATGATCAGCTTTCATAACTCTCAGAGCATCTAGATTTTCATCATTTGGTTCATTTTCAAATGGTGAAGAATTATCTCCTTCTTGAATCATTGTGCATTTTGTTTGCATCACAACATCTAAGTCAGTTTCAGTAAAATCAATGTTAGTTTCCAGTAATCCAACAAAGGATTTTCTCCTATAGGCTAGCCTATATGGATCTGTTTTATATTTTATAGGGCTACTCTCTAGTAGTATTGGAGATTTTGTTTGTGGCAGCATCAAGGAATCCTCAGTTTTAGTAACAGTAGACTCATTATTACTAGATGATAATGGCATGTTAATTTCTGCCAGCCTAACTTTATCTAAATTTTTATTGTGAAGCAGCCTAGGTAAGGACTTTTCATTTACATTCAGTATAATTGGAGTTCTTGTGAAGTCAGTAGTTGGGGATCTTGGGTCTATTTCTAACAAACATGGTTTTGACCTAAGGGGAGTATCATTGTTGACATTCTCAATAGGTTGATTTTCTTCAAAATTCTGAAGCCTTTTTGCAGCAGCAGTCAATATCTGTGAAAGAGTAATTCTGAGGACAATAACTAATTTTGGATAATATATTTACCTCTAGGGGAGTTCTTGATATGTTGGCACTTGGAGAGCGAGGATCTAAAATATTGCTGATTTTTTCAATTTTTGGAGTCAAAATTGGTGTTGTTGGAACACTTCCTTCATGAAATTCTTCTTCAGAAACGTGTTTGCCAATTTTGCTAGCTGATAATCCCATGACTGACAAATCTAATAAGCAGTCAAGGAAAACGTTTTTTTATCACAGTTCCTAGTCTCAAAACTGCTTAATTATCTTGATATTATCACCGAAATAACACATCTATGTACGGCGACACTAATTAGGCAGAATCCATAACTATCTCTTTAAACTACTTTAAAGCCTTTCAAATCAAAACATTCAAAACGGACTAACGGACAAAGTAAACAAAACAAAAGGAAACCGTTGGCAGCTGAAAATTTTAAAACTTTTTCGAAAGTTTTGAAACAAAGAACGAAGTAAGTAGTGACGCTACTGACGCTTAGGCCAATGTTCTTGTTCTGTGACGTCTGATGTCTGGTGGATCGAGACAGTAATAGAATGGGGCATCGCCCTAGCTTCTCAGGTAAGGCACTACTGGCACTAGCCGTTCGATATCTGAACTGATGTGAAGCAGTGTCGTGCGCGGTTAGTACTTGGATGGGTGACCATTCGAGGAAACGCCGGGTAAGCCCGTACCGTACATCTGTAAAATGATGAAATAGCATATCATAGCTACAGCTACCATATCAATGAGCACAAAATATGGTACGGATATGCCGTCCTTCGGAGGGGACGTTATGCCGGCGGCCCGAGGCCATGGATGTTGGACTCGTTAAAGATCCCTACCTCTGGTTGGAACACCAGAGGATTCGACAAAATTTCCGGTTGGGGGTAGTGTGCTCACCTGCGTCGGTGATTAGCCTCAGTAGCAGAAAAAGGCCGACGTTACAGACACAAGGAAGAAGAAATAATATTGAGTAAGTAAATAATGGCTGGAGATAGCTCCGCACACGTTGGGTCCCACCAATCAGGTGTCATATTGTAGAAGACGTTATGTGTTGAAGTGGCGAGAGATTACTCGTCTTTCATTGCTTTTCGAGAGCCTAGATTTTTCGAACCATTCCCAAACCTCATTATCAGATTCGCCACAGGCAGAGATTAGTCAACCACGTGGTACACGTGGTTGACTAATCTCTGGCCACGGAATGCAATGAAGATACACTATTGACGCATGCGCATTCCTCGAGATCTCGGGAGGAAGGAAAAATGAGGAAAAATATCCTAGAAAGCCTAAATCACTACACAAATGATCATAGTGGGCTAACGCCATGATATAAGTGGGCTAGAATAAAACTCTCTGACCAAACTCAGCCTCCACGAAAAATGATAATAAAAAAACACCAATCTCGATTCGATATGTAACGCGGAGGGAATGGTTCGAAAGATTTAGGCACTTCTCTACACGAGATCAGTCACCCACCTCTGCCTAGACACTCACCTAACCTATAAAAGTTGACGGATGGAAATTGGACAGATAGAGCATAAATATTTTGATTTTGATCTTCCAATATTCCAATAATAATTATTGTATATTGCGAACATTGCGGTAATACGATGTCTTTGTTCAAAAAGCCTAAAAAGACTATTCAGAGAAGAGTATTCACTGAACATGAGGACGATGAAGAGGAGTCAATGGATTTCCAAGAAATTACGGCGGCTCCGGTAGAAAAGAAGCTGAAGAAAAAAGATAAATTGTCCAAACCACAAACCATATTGAGTTTTGATGCTGAAGAAGAAGGCGAAGTGTTTCAAGTCAAAAAATCATCACATAATAAGAAGGTTTTACGAATGTTTGAGAAGGAAAAGAAGAAAAAAGAATCTAAAACTGAAAGAGATACCAAGCCTAGGGACAAAACTGAAATTGTCACTGATGATTTAGTATTGGTAGTGAACGCCAGTCATAAAAAACCTCCTACTCCACCGCCTCTCATTATAAGTGGCAGAGATGCACTGTTTGTTGGTAAGTAAGTACCTATCATCAAAAATCTACTCTTGAACATTAATTTTCTGGAATGATCAGACAGCAATCATCATACCAATGCATAAATAGGTAGGTATAGTGATCCTGATAATTCTTCAAATTGGTGGTCTATTTTATTATAGAGGAATCAGTGAAGAAGGGGCTGATGTCTTTCTTGGTAGAAATGTACCCTCAAATGTTCATTTCATAAAAACTCATATTTTCATTCTGTATGACAAGCTACTTAACACTTGTTTACACCTCAACAGTTTATCATGATCTAAAAAGCACAGATATGGCCTGTTATAGAATACTGTTGCACAAGATGCAAATAAAAGGGTGAAATTTCCCTTTTTCAAATATCCAAACGTGTTGTGATTCAAACTGATAAGTTAGTGGCAAAATGCGGCAGAATGTCAATATTTCTGAGAATATTTTGCCCTCATGGAAAGATAATACCCGATGGACTGGTGTAAAACTCATGTGGTGCTGGCACTACAAGTATTCAAATCCATATGTTGTGTTTTACACTGGTCCATCAGATGTTATCTTTAGAGATGGGCAAACTATTCTCTCTATATTGACGCTCTGCCACTAACTTAGATCAGTTTGAATGGCGGCATGTTTGGATATTTGCAAAGGGGCCATTATCCTCTTTTAGTTGCTTTTTGTTTGGATTCACAGTCACGGAAGTGTGTCCGGAATAATAGCAGCAAATAAATCGCTGTGCCGTGGACTTAGCTCAGACTGAGGGGTGGCACATGTAGGTTTTTGAGATCTACCATTCAAATGGTATGGGATGGCATAATTCTTATCTCATTATCAAATGCGAAATCAAGTTCAAATTCCCGCACAGGGAAATGCAATTTTTTTAATCATTTTGCTCTGGATAGTGATTGGCACAGGCGCCGTTCGATAAACTACAATGTGTTTACATGCCTTTGGGCTATACAGGGTGCCCGTTTTTCGAGCTTCATCATGGGGATCTCAGTTATTATAAGAGATACGAGGTCGGTTAAATTAGGACAAAGTTGCGCATTTTCATGCTGAACATTTATCTGCAAGAAAATTCGATGTGTCATTTTTAGCTTTTAAATCATTCAAAGGAAACGAAAATTTGTAATTTTCGTTTTTATTTTTTCAATTGAAAACGAAAAGATCTAGATGTTTCTGACTAGGACATTCTTATGGCACTTTTTCACAAGGAATCTGTCATCGTATTTTCCATGGGCGTTCTTGATACCAAAGTTACAACACTCAACTTTGTTTTTTTTATGGGCGACATATCGGATTTTTGCATTTTTGACAAGCTTTTTTTTCTGATCACAATGATGTATCACATGATATGACCGAATCTTTCCTGTTGATCAAAATTGGCAAATAAACATTTTTGTGAAGAGTTCTTTGAAAGGAATGCCAGTTTTGTATAACAAACTGAATTTTGACAGTTCAATTGAATATGCAAACAGAACTGTTGAATTCTTAATCTTATCCACATAACGCTAGAAGGGTTGCCGAGTGTCTGTCAAATATGTTCCCTGGCAGTTTCAGTATGTTTCTTTCTCACTCACCTTCCCAAAGTTCAATCAGAAGAAAATCAATCAGCACAGAATGATATACAAACTAAGAAGAACATTATTTAAAGTCAGGAAATATCAGATACTCACAATACAAGCCCATTGGGGCTTGGGGGATGATGATATGTCCTGGTCTTCTATTTTCATTGTGTTTTGATTTTACCTAACAATATGAAATAAGTTCAAAAACTCCTTCATCAGAAGATATAAATAAATACTTACTTACTTATATAATGATACTTACTATTTACAAGGTAATTTCCAACAACAGAGACATACGTTTGCCAGCGCGGTCACCTGATCTCTCTCCATGGATTTTCAAAACTGTACCGATCGATATTGATGAGCTGAGAAGAACCATAATCACCCCTTTCAGGGCTAAGATAAGAAGACGGGACATCTCGCCAGCAATTCAGAATCTGAGGAAACGCTAGAATTGTGTTTAGACTTTGTTTTGTTTTGCAAAGAATAAGCTTATAACTCATTACGTCGTTCCTAATTCAAAACCATAGTATTTAATTAGATGAGCTTGACGAAAATGTGAACGCTCCAGATCCAAATTCAAATGGCGAAATTCAACTTGTTAAACAAAACTGTTGGCGTTCTTTCCGAAGCACTCTTCGCAAAAATGGTTTTTCCCAATTTTGATCAACAGGAAAGATTCGATCATATTGTGTGAAACATCAGTGTAATAAAAAATAAGACTTCAAAAATGTAAAAATTCAATATGGCGCCCATAAAAAAAACAAAGTTGTCTTTTGTAACTTTGGCAGCAAGAACGTCATGGAAAATACAATGACATATTCAGGTTCCTTGTAAAAAAGTGTCTTGAGAATGTCCCTGTCAGTAACTTCTAGATCTTTTGGTTTCCGTTTAAAAAAATAAAAACGAAAATTACAAATTTTCGTTTTCTTCCAATAATTCAAATACTAAAAATGACACATCAAATTTTCTTGCAGATAAATGTTGAGCATGAAAATGCCTCGGAAAATGCGCAACTTTGCCTTAATTCAACCGACCTCGTATCTCTTATAATAACTGATATCCCCATGGTGGAGCTCGAAAAAAGGACACCCTGTATATCATTTCGATATCAGATGACGGTCGAAATTTGCCGCTGGCTCTTCGACTATAAGGAAATCTCATCTTGTGTTTGGGGTACAAGAGGAAATGGGGGCTAATATTCTCAGTCTCACCAGTGGGCGTTACTAAAACATGAGGTCAATGTCAAAGTCAAAAATCCCAAAATTTTGCCGGATAGCCCTAAAGGCTGTGGCATGTTTTATCGAAAATATTCGAAAAAAATGATGTAGAATATTTGAACAGATAGAAAACCTCAAGTTATGGAAAGGGACAGACTTGAGCAGACGTTTTTTTACTCTCAATGTGGAACATTCCGACCAAATCTTACATTGACGGAGAAGAACATATCGTAGGAAGAGGCCAAATGACAGAAAAAGAAGAAGTATAATCATCAGTTCTACCAACTCTGACTTCAAAATTAGTGGCGCGATCTAGGGTCCCTTGATGCAAACTGACGTATTTGTCATCTAACAGGGTACGGACAGATCAAAGCTCCTTTCTCTTTTATTTATCTAGTGACTTTGGTTTCGTGTATTGGCGTCCCTGACATTACATTGCTGTCATGTCACATTCATAGGATTTTGAAGAGATCTTACAAAATTTTAATTTCATACTTGGTCTTAACAAAACTTTATTCAATTCTGTTTTGGAAGGCTGTATCAATCAGTTGGATGGCAAATTTGAATTAGTCAGCTTTCCATGAAATGCAAATGCACTTAGAACATGGAAAGTGAAGTGACCGAATAGGAAAAATTGGTAAATACATCAGCAAAATATTCGAGGTGAAACTAATACGAAATCACATATTATACTTTCTCATTGTGCCTATCATTATCCACTCCACAAGTTTTTGAATGCATTTTAGTAGAAAAAGTTCTGGAAATATTAAGTGTTCGTGAAAAACTGCGAAAATGATTCCCAACATAAATATATACAGCACACATGTCATATGAGAACATTAGTTTGAATACCTACAGACATTTTTTCTCCATGTCTCAATCATAAGGCTTTTAGTCTGAAATCAAAATTTATTTATTGACAGGTACTGCCTAAGAACAGTCCCATTTGGTAAAACGTATTAAACTTTCAGAAAAATTTGCTCACTGCCTCACTATGATTATTTGGATATATGTAGAGTTGAATCAGAAATTACATGTGGAAATTACGTATGATACGCCAATGTACTCAATATAACCTAAAAAACAACAAATGTCAGAAATCTAGTGTTTATCCCCAGAAATGAATAAAGATGGAACTATATAACTGTTTCACAAACACTTTAGAGTGAGAGGAGACGAGGATCTGTCCGTACCCTGTTAAGATGACAAATACGTCAATTTACATCAAGGGACCCTAGCGCGATCCAGGTGGACAATAAATAATGATAGCCCCGTTAGCCCTCATTATGACTATATTAATTCCTCGTCATTATTCTTGAGTGATGGCAATATGTAGCAAAAACCAAGTTTTACTACTTACATAATATACAAGTGAATATCTCGGTAACCGTTCGTTAGATTTTTTGAATTTTTGTACAGGATGATTCCAAAACATGATGGATTCCAAAATATCGCCAATGTTGCCACGTGTCAAGTTTTTCCGAAATTCTTGTCAACTTCATTATTTCAAATGACATGTTTGTAAAAATGGAAGAGAACCTTTCAGCAAATTCATTGACATATTATTTAATATTATTATTTTCAATAACAACAGAGATATCTGAAAAAAATCGACGAAGTATTGAGAGACGATGGAACAGCGGGCAAAGTGTGTGTTCTTTGTCTTATAAGAGTCTGATATGAATGGTAAAGCTAATAGGCGAAATTGCCGCTAGTGGTCGCAAACTAATCCTCACTGGGTAAACAAGAGGCACATTCACAACATCCCAAGAAACAGATCGTTTGGGCTGGTATTTTCTTCAACAGGATTGTAGTGTCTTTTTTAGAAGACACTTTGAATATATACAGATACTTGAATCTGTTGAATACACAATTGATTCCGGTACTGGAGGAAAATAAACAACTTCATCTACTCACTGCATCGAAAGTAAGCGTTTTCTCCCGCATTTAATGACACAAACCTGTCAATTTACTCCTACGGGAGTAAACAGAATTTTACCCCCCGTCGGAGGTAAAATAAATCGGCTTCAGCTTGCTTCCTTGGTAGAGATATACATATAAGATATGTGCTACCCAAGTACCTAATCAGTGTCTCCTTCACTACTATAAAACAAATAACAATTTCTTTTCCAAACTCCGATACAGTTTCAAACTGATTCTCGTTCAGATTCAAATATACTGTCAATAATTGTCCATGGCATACTCTGTGGGCGCATACTACACGTTTGTAACCTTAGATCATGTAACACATTGATTTGGATCGAGACTCTAGAGATAGACCGCTTGCAACACAATTTTAAGAACGACGCTCTCAAATATATGCGTTCGTGGATAAAATCATATATATATATCATTGGAGCAAAGGTTGATTTCCTCTCACACGCGGGAGGAAATAGATACCTTTGCTCCCTTGATATATAAATAGCTAATCAAATGATTTCTGGTTTCAGCTGGAAGGGGCATCTCCCCATTGTACTCGGATGTTCATTCCGGTTGGAATGGTAACCGCTCATGACAGCTCTTCTGATTCATTTTTTGCGGTGAATCACTCCGCTGGTCTTCTTTCTTCTGTACTTCGTCACAGGCTGTTGTACCGCTTTGCCTTTTCGGTTATTGAGTGCCAGTCTTTCCTCATGGTTCTTATATCCTTCAATATCTCGTCCTCCAATCTTAATTTTGGCCTCCCTCTTAGTCTGTTGATTTGTGGTGTCCATTCCCACACTTTTTTCATCATCCTATCTGGTTCTCTTTTATGTAGGTGTCCATTCCATTTCAACCTTTATGCATCAATTATCATTACTATGTCTTGACAATCCATTGCTTCCTTTTTTCATGATTCATTATTTTCTCTGTTTCCGCGTCTTCTTTTCTTGCTATCTTATAGCATTGAAATCACCCATGATTATTAGCATATCATTTCTTGATGAATTTCCGCATGTATCTTCTAGCATTTCATAGAATTCTTGCTTATATTGCTCTGATGCTTCTTCCGTTGGGGTATATGCGTTTATAATTGTTATATTTGCTTGTACGTATTCTGGTATTTGATATTCGTCCATTGATTGCTTGGAAATGTAGTACTCTATTTCTGAAATCCTTATCTACCATGAACGCGGTTCCATTTCTTCCTTGCTCTTGATCCTCTGAGTAATATACTGTGTAGTCCTCTTCATCTATTTGCCCTTCCTCCTTTCACTTTGTTTCCTGTAGTGCTATTATTTTTATTTTGTATACCTTCATTTCTCGTGATATTTCCTCCATTTTTCCTATACCAAGCATGGTTTTTACATTCCATCTGCCCATCCTTATAGTATCCCTTTGTTTTTTGTCTTTTTTAGTATATTCTTATTTTTATCAGCTATATTTCTTTACTCATGTACATTTTCATTGCCTCTATTTCCTCCTTATTTCCATTGCTTTCACTGAGTTTTTTCTTCTCCAGCTTGTTTACGAGTTTTGTCAATCTGATTCGTGGCTTTATTCCACTTTCATTCTTCTCCGTTCATCCATAGTTTCTGGATGCCTACTTTCACTTAATCACCAATTCCTACCTTATTTCCCTTGGTTCTCACGATGTTCTCTGAACATTACAGGATTACCCTTTTCGTGAGAACCAGAATATACAAAAAATTCCTATCGTTATATCCTCTCTGGCCTTGGGCCCTTGCCTCTTATTTGTGCTTGAATTTCTCTTTCTTCTTTGCTCATGTCATCGTTTATAAATATTCGGTAGTGCTTGATCTCGCCATTACCACCGTATATTATCATTATACTGTGCCGTTACGCTCGCATTGTTCGAGATCGCTTAGACAGGACATTTAATAAAAAATGGATAGGGAAAAGAGGTACGATTGAATGGCATGAGCGATCTCCCGATATAAGTTCATTGGACTATTTTTATGGGGTTATTTGAAGTCCGAAGTTCATTTAAAACGACCAAATATTGTCAGAACTAGCTGAAAGAATAACCTAAGAGATTCAAAGAATTCAACCAGGAGTAATTGCTAATGTGAAATGTTATGAGCCAATTTACTAATATACTAGTCTACTGTGAAGAAGTAAATGGTGCTCAGTTTGAACATCCAATAAAATTAGTTCATTTTCTCTTGATGCCTTTCCCTGTTTCATTTTACTGTTTTGTATTGATTTTTTTTAGTTACTTTATGGTTGTTATGATTGTTTTATATGCAAGTACCTATTCTTTTGTTAGTACGGTTTGCCTTGGTATCAAAAATATGGTACCCAATGTTTTTGAATGGAATTTTTCAAATTAATGTTGGTAGTGAGAATTTTGAATAAGGAAAACACATCAGTTTTAGTTATCTCTGTTGTTATTGAAAATAAAAATAACGAATAATATATCAATGAATTCGCTGAAAGATTCTATTTGAAAATTAATAAAAATATATAGGGTGTCATTTGAAATAATAAACTTGACACGAATTCCAGAAGAACTAAAAAAGTGGCAAAATTGGTAATAACATATCCGAATCCGCCGTGTTTTGAAACCAACCTGTACAAAAATTCAGAAAAATCCTACAAACGATTACCGAGATATTCACTTATGATTCCACACTTTTACCCATCACTGTACTGATATATTGATCAGTCGTAAATAAAGCGTATTCTAATTTGTTTTCAACTTTGTACTAGATGTTGAGAAGACACTTACTTGTCTGAATGAAACCGAATGTGAATAACTGTTTCACCTTCTGGATGTCAAAAATCAGTTAATTTATTAGCATAATAATTATTGGCGTGGAATCAATGCCTCTTTTTTTTTCAGGAAAAGATGATTTGTCATCTGAGGATGAGGAACCAGAGCATCGATTTTCGAAACCCGATAATGTCAAAAAGGTGCTCGAATCAGGAGCGATTCCTGATGCTGCTATGATTCACGCTGCCAGAAAGCGTAGACAGAGAGCTAGAGAGCTAGGAGACTTCATCCCGACAGAAGAAGAAGAACCGGAAGACAAAGGACGATTGCTTCGAGAGGACGATAATGAAGGTAACAATGTTTTTCCACCAGTAGCCCACTGACATGACTAGTATCTAGACCGCTATTGGTTTCCTGGTTATATTCCAGCAATCCGAAAATCTCGGTCAAATTGTTCGCCTGAAAACGCTTTTGCTTCTGCTCAAGAGGAAGTTGTACTATGATATAAAGTCCGCTATATAAAATATGATTATTGCTCAGAGGAAAAGTTCATTTTTGTTATTATTCCATAAATAGGAACAAATTATATGGGAAAATAATGATGCAATGACAGGGCCCGCAGGACCCCTTCTAGAGTCGGGGCCCTAAGCTTCAGCATACCAAGCGTACTGGTAAATCCGCTGCTCATGCTGGTACATACGGCAAACAATAACAACAAATTATCGTTTCGTCCAGGCAGCGACGAGGAATTAATCGACATGGACGTCAACCTGGCTCAGAGAGACCAGGACAGGCGTCGGGAACAATTCCTTTCGGCTCTGACCTCCGACCACGAAATCGACGAGTGGGAGGACCAGCAGATCGGGAAGGCGGTCCTGAGGACCTGAGGTCGTGACTCATGTCAACAAACATCATGATAAAAATTGCTGCTCTATATTCTACTCTGAAAGAGGATAGCAAGTTGTGCGTTGATCTTTGCTAATTATATTTGCACACATAGACATATTATACAGACTATAGCTGGGCAAGAAACAATATCTACTGCACTGTAGTTATCAATATGTTGTTGCTCATGACCTGAGGTTACAACTTTGATAGGGTTGTATGGAACTTGTGACGTCAGTACCACAGGCGGTCTTCTGTCATGTTAAAGCAGAAATATTAATTCTGAAAAAAACTATTAGTTATTTTTATTAGATGAAAGTTAGTTTCTACATGTTTTTAGAATAATAAAGTATCGGTGAACCAATGAAATAATTCATAAAAAAGTGTGATTTCCGATATTGATCAATTCTTCAAGTTTCAATGCAATGTTCTAAGATTTTGTAGCTCCTCGGTAAACTTTTATTAGAATTCAGAATTCTGAGTCATGCTGGCACATACGGCAAACAATAACAATAAATTATCGTCCCGTCCAGGCAGCGACGAAGAAAGAATCGACATGGACGTCAACCTGGCTCAGAGAGACCAGGACAGGCGCCGGGAACAGTTCCTCGCGGCCCAGGCCTCCGACCACGAAATCGACGAGTGGGAAGACCAGCAGATCAGGAAGGCGGTGACTGGAGCAGCGATGGAGGCGGCCCGCGAAATCCTCTTCCCGCCCGAGTGTCCTTCTCCGCCGCAAATATCGATCCGGGCGCCTGCAATGGAACCGGGGATACCCAGAACGCCCCAGATGATAGCCGGCAAGCTGCGAGAGCACTTCGAGAGGGTGTCGGGTTCGCGGGAACGGCACATGGAGCAGTTGGAGAAGACGCGGGAGGATATGCAGGAGGTCGTGAAGGAGCTGGAAGAGCTGAAGATCAAGGCGCCCAATGCGGCTGAGCGTTTCAGGTTCTACCAGGAACTTAGAGGTAATCCACAATCTATTTTTATCTGAAATATCGAGTACTAGTCCCTAATAACACAGGCCAGCCAATGGATGTCCATTTTAGGTCCAAAAAAGTTTCGGATGTCCTTGGACAAGAAATGTACATCCATTGGATGAACCAAAATGCCTGTTCAATGGAATACCACCGACACTATTCCAATGGATTACTAGTGACACCTTTCCAGTGGATATCCATAATGTATCTAATGGCATGAAAGAATGTAAATGCCATCGCCATCTTTGTTTCGTGTTCTCTATTGTCTGTTCGTCTGTATTCCGTCGCTTAAGTCGTTCGTGTTTGCTGTTATTGTATGCAGAAGTTTGTATTGTTTGTTGCAGATTCATACAGGAATACCGGGTGTCACAGGATCATGGTACACCGAACCATGTTGATGAACTTAAATTGGTGATAAATTAGGACATTTTACATTTTCGACAGAATTCAATTTTTTTAGCATTACTCCTGACAATATGAGTACATCAGACTCGATCAGAATAGTTACGGCACACTCAGATGAAAAATCAAAAATGAAATTAAACTCAATATTGAAGTTTTAAATGTCACTTATATGGTATCATTGGATTCAGAAAATGATACAGAATTCGAAAATGCAATGATATATAGGGTGTTCCATTTGAAAATAAAAAGTTATTACCACTTCCGGTAAAACCGGTAGTGGAAAATAAAACCTGTCAAAAAGTTACGTTCATCAAGTTGATGGATCATTCCAAATTTCAATCACATATCTCCAAAACTCAAGGAGAAAAAGGGGGTGTACCATGATCCTGTTATGGTATATTAGTGAACTAATTATTCGAAGTCAATTTGAGGTTATGTGTAATGATTACTTCATCAATTTGTTTACATATTATTTTATGATAAGTGTGTGTGTGTTTGTTCTCTCATTCATTATTTTTTGAAGAAATCGCCCATCATTATAAATGAAATATTCAATAGTGATTTATTTATGACTCAACCATATATTGAAAAAAATAACAACAACCCTAACAGATCAACTCAGCGTTAGTGAGCCAACTACCTTGAGCCTAATATATATCAGAAAATCTTCGTAGTCGTTTGACTTAACCCCATCATACCCTATATTGTTGGAGTTAATCTTGAATTCTCTAACTGATTGTGGAATGAAGTACAGGGTGTCCCATTTAAAAAAACAACTAGTTCCCTGTAGATCGTTTGTTCCGACCACCCTGTATTTTCTGATGTTGATGATCTTTCAGAATATGGTGAGAAATAATAATCCTATAATAGTCCTCTAAACTGAAGTCTGAAAAAAGTTACTCCACTCTTTTAATGTCATTCTTATCATATTGTCTATACCGTTTGTTGTATTTTATCCATTTGTAAACATTCAAATGCTTTCCTTATTATAAATTGATTGATTTAATTGTACCATACAAAGGGCTCTTTGATTGCCATCATCATCCTATCAAATAGAGAAAAAATCATTTTAAATTCTAATTTCAGGATATATCACAGACCTTGTAGAGTGCTTGGATGAAAAAGTAGAAATCATCACCAATTTAGAACAACGTTCCTTGGATCTGATGGCACGAAAATCCGAATGGTTGATAGAAAGGAGAAGGCAGGACGTTCGAGATCAAGCAGAAGAAGCGACCAACAAAGGTGTTGTGGTGAGGAAGGGACGGGAAGAGGAAGAGAAACAAAGAAGGGCCGCAGAAAGGGAGGGAAGAAGGACGAGGAGAAGAAGAGCCAGGGAAACGCCAGGACTACCGAAACACGTGGAAGGTTCGTGTACTAACAGTTGATTATATTTACATTTATATTTTTTTTTCCTTAATTATTTTTCTATTTGTACATGGTATAATTCTGAAAACCATATTGATTTCCTGTTTTCATCTTGACAAAATCAGTAGGTTTTTATGATTTTTGTGGTATTAGGCATTCCAAAACACGTGACCTTCGACATATTCATTATGTTCTTGAGTTTCAGAGTGGCAAAAATGGTATATCTGCAATTTAGATTATTTTTCATCCATTTGATATCTGATTTTTGTTCTATAACTGAATAATAGGTTCTTTAAAAAATATATGCTATGGAATCTCGCCCTACAAATAAAAAATGTTATCACAAAGTATCACAATACAATGTTCATGGAAATAGACAAATATTATACAGGGTTTCTATAAATGATTGTAACATCACAGTGGCACTTGAAAGATCATTTTCACGTGCCGCTTTACGCCATTGAAGAACATAACAATAATGATTGTCAGATATGAAAGTCCATTAGTAGAAGGCGGCAAATGAAGAAAATATTTCAATTTCAATTATAATCATTCATAAAAACCCTGTATGACAACATATCAGCACACTGAATTTCTGAAAACTGGAAAACAAACGGCTAGAATTGTGTGTGCTGCTTGATCTTCAACATGAGGATTCATATGATATAACTAGAGTTCCTAAATCTACTTGACACTGCTGTTTTGAAGTTTTTTTGTATGTCCGAGTACGGACACTATGACAAGCACTGACTATCAGACATAACCACAAATAAATTGATGGAAAAAGCGGGAATTGACGTGCCTGACATAAAAGTTTGACAAATTGAGAGAATTAGGAGAAAGATGCGAGTTTGTGCAGTTTCCAACTGTGAGAACACGGGAAATCAATTCACTCTATACGAATTTCCATCGGATAACGTAATTCTACAAAAATGGAAACAGAATATGATGCGGCCGGCATGGAATATAGGTTCAGGCCACAAAATTTGCGAGGTATTCAAATTTCTTGGTAGGATATAGGTATGTTTCAACGCATTTTTATCAGGTACATTTCAGAAGGGAAGATTTGATATTGAAGAATAGGATCGTATTGAGAGAAAGAGCCGAACCCACAATTTATAAACTGAGCGAGTATCGAAAAAAACCTTATTCCAATTTAGAACCAACAAGAAACGAAAAACTTGCAGATGATGAAATTCATTTCGAACATATTTTGAAAGAAAAAGGCATGAGAATCGAATTTTCAGAGCAGGAATATTGAAAAATCCAAGGTTTACGAGTGGAAGAGAGTGAGGAATTCAGGAAACAAATAGAATAAAAAAATAGAGACTTGGAAAATAAGTCTGAATGTGCATGTACATGCGTAGTTGAGAGTGCTAGATGACTACATAGCTCCTAGTGGATTTTGAACCATTTCTTGGGTACCAAGATACAAGCAAGATATTATCAGAGCACAGAACCAAAACGCTTAATGAGTGCACCATTTATGTTAGGTATTGAAAATGATCTTCCGATGGCCGGGTTCAAACCAACAATCCCCTTGTGAACGGCGATCTATAGTGAGACGAGCGCTGAAGTCCATTTATACGTACTTCTGAATGTCTTGGAGAACCTTTATTATTTATCCTAACTGAAATCAGCTGTTATTGTTGCCATATCATTTGTTCATTTAATAATTACTTATTACCTACCACTCTTGTACAAGTGAAATGGGCGTGTACACCTTAGTAGAACTTTTAACTGAAACTATGTTTATAATGTTCCTTTTATACATAAATAATGATTGACGACATAATTCGATCGAAAAATTAACTGGAATGTTTTATTTTTGGACATAAATAATAGTACCTTCTGAAAACGGACCCTCTTATGACGTAGAAACCTCATCTCGCCATAGTTAAAAGAAAACACCAAACGCCCGACGGAGACTGAGGCAACTGATATATTAATTCTTTCAACTGTGATCTCGCGCTAATTCACTCTGTCAGAAATCATGTATCATTCATCTCTGCCTGGAATAGTCTTGTTTCAGTATTAGGGTTTTGACATCACATCATCGCCTCGTTTTCAGAGGTCCGAAAAATCGGGGATTTCAATAATTTTTTATAAAACGTAGGGAGCTCACAGCAAGAAACGGTTTGCGGTGGTGAGCTAGTTTGGGTGAGTTCTATCGAATTATGAAATAATTTTTTTTTGTGATATAAGCCCATTTATCAGTTTTTACCCCATTCTGAACTTTTGTGATAAAAAAATATTCAACTGAACGTATATTCATACCTACATATGAGAGACTTATTCCATGGGAATAGTATATTATGTATTTCGTTGGTATATATGTACATACCAACTTTATATCGACCTCCATTGAGGTCCTTCAGCCTTATCATTCAATATTCCGAGAAGAAATTATTTTCTAATCAATTTATCGTACCCTTTCACCCACTCGAGGAGACGCTATGCACTCTCATACAAACATCAACTCAGAGAAAGATATATGGATGTACTCTTCCCAGGACTCGTGGAGGAAGGAAGATGCGAGGATCCTTTATCTAAGCTAAAAACATATTCTTGTCCTTGTCTGGCAAAATAGATGATTTTCTTGAAAATCTTTTGTGGTTATGTTTGATTGTCACTGCTTGTCTAGTGTCCGTACTCTGATATACAAAAAACGTCAAAACAGCAGTGTCAAGTACATTTAGGAACTCTAGATATAACCAGTCCAACAAGATATACCTCACATATCCCTATAAATATATATTTTCTGGATAATCTGACCAGAAATGATCGAGTCTTTTTTATATTGGAATCTGGGATTTCTCACCAGATTCATGTTCCTCGACAAAAAACACTAGATATACATTATCAAGAAAAAGAGACGAGAAATTACTAACTTGTCTGCCATCTTGGATTTTTACCTTCGTCTTTCATTTAGGTAGTCACAAACTTTGAAAATCATCATCGTTACTGCTATATTCTGTATTATCTATTATAATCACGTTTCTACCCTTTTCGTGATAGAAAATAACACGTCACCTCATCTGACGGCAACAACTTGAACAATTCTGAGCGGCTTGTTTTGATGATATAACCAATAAGCACAAACAAAAAACAAATGTGAACCAATAAAAACAAAGCAAACAAGCTGCTTTGACAGCATTCAAGAACTCCGATAGATGGCGTACGCCTATTTTCTATCTATTTCTTAATTTTCTTATAGGAATGTCAAGTGATGAAGAAATATCTCAGCAGGATATTCTTTGTTTCGATAAGGATAAAGAACAGATCCAATTAGAGCTACAACAAGTATTCGAGGATGTAGTGGATGAATATTCTTCTGTGGCGAATATCCTCATTCGATTTGAACAATGGAGGTCCACAGATATCACTGCATACACCGAAGCCTATGCTACCTTTTGCCTACCGAAAGTCGTCAGCCCATTGGTAAGGTTGAACCTTGTATTCTGGGATCCCCTAAATGAGACGATCGAATTAGAGAAAATGGACTGGTATAGGACCTTGGCTTTATATGGTTTGCATGACGATGAAACCGAAGAAACCTTATCAAAGGACCCAGATATTTCCATGCTCCCAACAATCATAGAAAAAGTAATAATTCCCAAACTAACACATCTTGTCGAGAGATGTTGGGATCCTGTGTCAAGCTCACAAACGTTGAGGTTAGTGGGGATGGTAGGTCGGTTGATAAGGAAGTTCCCTTCATTGGGGCCCGCAAGTAAGCCTTTGAACAATATGTTCGGCGCAATTTTCCACAAAATGAAAACATCCTTGGAACATGATGTGTTCATACCGATTTCAGTGAAACTTGCTGAGAGCAAGTCGCCCTTCTTTCAACGTCAATTTGCAAGTGGGCTCAAGTTGTTGAAGAATATTACTAGCTGGCAAGGTATTCTCAACGACAATAATCTCAAAGAACTAGCTTTAACTTCACTTCTCGACCGGTATTTGTTGAGTGCGCTGAAATTCTGCGCTATTGTGGATGCCGTTCATAAAGTGAGGTTGATTACTCAGATTCTTCCCAGGATATGGTTGGTGGGTAATACGCCAGAATTCAAAATGTTTTCTGCTACACTGCTCAATTTACATCAACAGTTAGATAAGAACAATCCTTTGCATTTGGAACCAATTGAAATCTTGACTAGTATTTTGAAAACTTTGAGATCTCAGAATTAGGTGGCATATTTATGTATTAATGAGTAAATACTGTAAATAGATCATTAAAATTTATCCGAGTAAATTTATGACATTCATTTGATAACAGAGAAACTGGCAGATGTGTAGAATTCCTTGGTATCAGGATCTTCAACTGGCAATGTTGCCAGCTGTATCAGAATTTTCAATAAGATGATAGACCTTCCAAACGCTCGACCATCTTCTGTCTAAAATACGATCTTTGTCTCTCTAAGTGGACATACTCAAAACCGATATATCTACAGAAGCACAAAAATAAAAAGGCACCTTACCGAGCAATAGGGAAGTTGATGAAATTTCATAAAATAAGTTCGGGACTCCTCAGTTTTATGTCTACGCTGTACAGAATGTCGATTGATAAAGTCAAATTCGTTTTAATTATCAAAATGAAGCAATTTCTAATTTCTTGGGCGGCGATCTGTGACGTACAGTTGTATTCAATAAAAAAGCGTACAAGTATTAAAAATAGAGGTTAACGTCAACCTAGATCTAGTTGTGTAAAACTGGCGCAGCCAATGCTTTATATTTTTGACAACCTATGACAACTGTTAACATTTGGTAAACAATAATTCCCGATAGCCCGTTTAAAGCAAATAGTATGACGTTAATTTCTCTCTCTATTACTTTTAAGCTTTTTTTATTGAATACAACTGTACATTCTGAATCTAGTGTGAAATTAGTTGAAGATGAAGAATATGGCTAGCTAATATCTAACGAATAAGAAAATAGAGGAAAAAGAAGATAAATTGGCGTCGTTGCATGATCAATACTAAGTAACATTGCCTGAGGAACTATTTCCAAGAACTTATAAACTCCAAAAGGTCAAGAAAATTTCAACACCTACCTCCCCTCCCTATCCTCCCTAGGTACGCACGATGTTTTTCGAACATTATAGGGATTTCCTTTCGTGCGCACCAAGCGATAAAAAAACTAAAAACTGTAGACATAGGCTAACGAATAACTGGAGATCAAAAATCGACACAAGCATACATAACCACGAAATCAGATCAGCTCTTGGTGTGCCTGTCAGTATTTTTTGTGGTGTGAACGGAAAGTATTATGCGCTGTTGCAAGATATATTATGCAACTTTCCTAGAAAAAAAATCTGTTTTATAAAAGAAGAACGAATTCATTCTGAAGAAAATGACAAGTTAGGATTATCAATTTGTAATATAGAGAAACTGAAAAATTATAGATACTATCACAAAATATCATAATTTATTATTATTAGTAATCAAATTCATCTAGCGAATAAGAGATTTATGAGCATTATTCATAATACTCCACCAAGTAGATTGTAATAGTATATTATTCAGCAAGCATATAACGAGGGCTATTATTCACGAAGGTCAAGTTTATGTCACGAGCGTAGCGAGTGGCATAATGAACCTGGATACAAAATAATCCAGAATAGTGTCGGAAAAAATTAATGAAAAGCATTTTTCAGTGGCCCTGAATACGATTTTGGGACCACCAGAATTTGGTGGATTTTAGAAATATCCCGTATATCACTATGAGTTTCCATTATAGACATCACTTGTGCATTTTTTATATGAAAATGATCTCAAATGTTTCCTCGCCCAACATGATTTTTATTCATAGTGAGAAACATGTTGATAACTCTCCCATGAAATGTAAAATTTCAAACAATGACAGCTCTGTCTAATAGAGAATAACTTGAGAGAAAATCAGATGGCTACAAGCCGAAGAAATAAAAAATATCGCTGTTATCTGTTGCAGCCGTAAAATGAGTATAGTGTATAACCCCCAATCGTATGCATGATTCGCAGCATTCGACTATCATTCCGTGCTCGTTAAACAATATACTATTTCCATAGCACCTTCATGAAAACCATATTATTGCCGGACCCTGATGTATTCGAATGTTCTGAAAAAAACAAAACACAAATAGGTATAATGAAGCATTTATTTTTCAAATATGATGAAAGGAACTAATGACTAGAAAGAGTGAAAATCATCTATTTTGAAGACGCCAAACATTTCAAATATTGGGAATATTCATAAAAAAACTGGTATTGGGCAGGAAGTTATTATACCTGCTAATGTCAAATGTCATCTAAACTACAATAATCAATTATGTTGCTCATTGCAACCAGACGATATTCCTAGAATTAAAAATGTTGAAGTATCTTCAAAAACCTATATTCGAATTACAATTTCAAATATATAAGCTTTGGTAACAGACAAAAAGTTATTATAGAGTCAAATACACACATGAATGATTGATAATTTATTTGAAAATAGATATTATATCGTGTATGAAAATAGGCACTTGAATTACAGTAAAATTATTCACAATCTGCTCCATTTTCAGATATATAATGAGGATCTGTACTCTACTAAAAAAAATCACACACACACGGAATTGAGTTTTCACATTATAATGTGACATTATCCAAAATAAACTTGAAAGTACCTATAGTAGGTAACGTTTTCGAGAGAAACGAGAGAATTTGAGTACCTACCTAAAAAAAAATTTATGTTATGATACTATCGCTATCGATGACCTATTCTTACTGTCACATCAATAGGAAATGTTTATAATGGGTTTGTTCTGCCCAGATTGCCAACTTACGTATGTACAGTGTGGGCTAATGGAAACTTTCCACAATAATTTGTAAGATTCAAAATCAAAATTTGAGAGGGAACTAATTTCAAGCATTCTCCATCTCCGTAGCGTTAACTCTGTAGCTGAGGGGTGAACAATCCTCAAAATTTGCATAGGGGAAGTGGGTCGTGCCATTCTTTTTTTAAAAGTCTCATCGAGTTCTTCAGGATCCTATAATTTTGATTTTGCCTTATTATTTTCATACATTTGATACTCTTTAAAATTAAAATGACTGATTTGAAATACAAATGACGCATTTTGAAATTGAATTGATGAGTTTTAAATACATTTGATATTTTTTGAAATTGAAATGACTGATTTGAAATTCAATTATGGATACCTTTTAAAATCGACTTGATGCTTTTTGAACTGAAATGGGAAAAGATGTAGCATCGAAACTAGAACATGAATGCATCAAGGTTGGATGAATTCATAGCTCTTATCACTGTTCCTGAATCTGTTGAATTAGAAGACCTGATGTGTGTATAAGTGGGGAAGTGTTCAGCCTACCGACTGTTTGGCACACCATCAATGAACTCAATTCAGTAGTTGTTTAAATTGAGTTCAATGGACTTAACAAGCGGCCATCATTCCGTCTGAGCGACTATCGATTGTTATTGATAAACAAAAATAATTTACTGTGTGTATTCTACTGACGATTGGTCAATCGTCTAGCCTAGCGGTCAAGACGATAGCCTGAATTTTACAAAGCATTTCAAAATCACTTGGGTATTTGGAATTTCCAGAGTAGTCGGTATTTGAAAATTTTCAAAGTTCCAAATAAATTATTTCCTAATTTCGAAAGCATTTGAATAGGTACATATTTTTTTTTGTTACAAAAGTAGGAGATTAATATTTTTAGAGTTCATATCCAAATTCTCTCGATAATCATCAAAATGCTTAGGTACTCCGAAAAACTTTATGAAAATATTTGCAAATACTGAGAATAAATATATTCCACTTAATATTTGTGAGTATTAAAAATAATCGAAATAATTAAAAACTGATTATTTATATACCTACTCCATCTAAATACAAATAATGCCGAGCTCTAAAGGAGAGAAAGGTACAGGGTACAGGGTTATCATTTCAAAAAAACTAGCCACTTCATCAAATTTTAGCCGTAGAATCAAATCTAGGTCTATAGGTATGTACTTCACTGTCTAGAATATAGATTAACGAAAAACAAAAACTATTGCCTAGAAGACTCAAAACAATGCATGTTATGTTTTCACTTATAGGACATCATTATTATCTAGTATGTTGAAGAATATGTCTTCGGGTTGAAGAATATGTCTTCCGGTCATCAGTTTTTGTTTAATCTTCGGTGAATTGGTCCGTCCCTGTACACGTATTCAATTTGATCATTTTGATGGCCTGTAACGCTCATTTGGTAGTTGGTGGAAACCATAGGGTGACACAGGTTATCGGGCCACCCCTGTAACTACTGCATTCGTCAACGGATTTTTCTGAAATTCGGTACACTTATATAAGCAACTATTTCGGATTTGATCACATTACAATCCAATATGGCGGATTTCCGGTTTTTCTGGAAATGCCAGCAATTTTGTTTCTTCAAATGGAACACCCTGTATTTTTTTACATATTCAAGTTCAACAGGTAATCTTGTTAAATGTCATTTATTCCACAGCCTACCTAGTTGAAAAATTATTTTAACTGCAAGGAAATTCATAAACTAGTTGTTGGTTTTTGAATGTATACAATTTGTTACTGCACCGAAAAACAAAAATGATATTTCATTTTGTTCCTTAATGTATGTTCTAGAGAAACGGGTAGGTGGCCCATAGGGGTTCCATTTAAAAAAAAATAATTTTTGATCAAAAAGTGATGTGACTGAATTGATTCCTGGATAAGTGACACAAAAAATAATTTTTCAGAAAAAATTATGTTTTTTTGTTATGTGTGACTCATTGTGAATAGTCTCGACCACATCTCATTTATATACGAGGTAAAATGAAAAAACAATTTTAATTTAAATTTTTTCGAAAAAATTACATTTGAAATAAATATTGCACTTGTCTCGACCTGTTGAACTTGAATATGTAAAAATATACAGGGTGTTTCATTTGAAAAAACAAAGTTGCTGGCATTTCCAGAAATACCGGAAGACCACCATATTGGATTGTAATGTGATCAAATCCGAAATAATTGCTTATATAACTGTACCAAATTTCAGAAAAAACCGTTGACGAATGCAGAAGTTACAGGGGTGGCCCGATACCCTGTGTCACCCGGTATGTGTGGAAACTGTTCTAATAACTTTTGCAACATACGGATTTTGGAGGTCCTCATAGAGACTTTTGATTGCTAATATACAAGGCAGCATCAACAATGGATCGAAGTGTTTTCGACTGGAATATTTGTATTGTTTTTATTCTATACAGGGTGAGTCATT